TGTTATATGCAGTAGTTACAAGAATGTGAGTTATAACTAAGCAGAAGTTCACGGAATTAATAACACCAAGTAAGCAAATAGCAACGCGTTACTTACAATGATCATGATCTTATATGCCTCCAGGAATGGAATGTCAGCAACCTTGTAAAGAACATCAAATACCTTCTTCTGCAATTGCATGCAAATAGTTATGAGACTAAACATAGGAAATAGGAAACAAAATTGTGAACAGACCGATATGAAATAAAGAGATGAGAAATATCACCTGGAAACCTGAAAGCCCATCTGAAAGACGAGCAGCTTCCTCTTCTTCTTTCTCCTTTTGTTTCTCAACTTCATACTTCGGTTTCCAAGTCTTCTCCCGATATGACTCTGCTACCTTCTCATCACTCGCTATCAAAACATTGTCAAACAAAATGCCATCCTGCATTGTCCAAATCTCAATACCAATAGCAGCAATCGGCTCAAAATCAGGCCTTTCAAGCTCAAAGTATTCAGGATTTGGTATCTCCTGTGGCTTCCAGATTCCCTTGTAGTTAGGGTTGTCAATCAGAGGAGCATGCCATTTTCCTTTGTAAACTGGATTACTCTTGGTGGGTCTCTACCACTCACCACAACCATGTGCTGCTTCACACTTGGGGTTATCAATTTTAGGCGCCTCAAATTCTCCATCCTCTTCATCATCCCAATCATCAGGTTTGGTAGCCTCAGGATCATCAATTTCCTCAGGCTCATCATCCAACAACCCTTCAGGCTTAACAGCCTCTTCATCTTCAATCTCCATGGGAGCATCCTCATCCCAATCGTCAGGTTTAACAGCATCAGGGTCCAGAATCTTGGCCCTCTCATCCCAGTCCTCAGGCTTCTTGTCCTCGGGATCAGGAATGGTCTTTGGTGGAATAACAGCTGGCTCAAAATCATCACCAGACAAGAAATTTGCCTTCTTTTTATTTTCGCAATCGACCAGAATGCGCAGCTCATTATCAGATTCAAGAATTGCGGTGTATACATGAGAAAGGTTATCAGATGGAACAGACGGCGGATACTTGAGATGATGCTCAACAAACTTTCCTGTCTTGGGATTCTTGTGCTTAAGGATGAAATGGACCTTGTTGGTGGATCCACACCTGTCAGGACCAAACATGATAGATGATAGTATAGGGAGACTCATTGTCAAACTCCTTGGGGATCCACCCAGCCTCCTGAGGTCGGAGATATTTAATATATGCCCCGCCACTCTCAAGTCCATTTTGAAGCCTTGTCTCATATTGCAGAACAATGGTCCTGTCCTGGAGATTAACTGGTTTCCCAAGCTCCCTAACAATTGCGTATTTCCTCGCCTTTTCACTCACAAGAAGGCCATAATCATCATGTCCCTCACTCTTTGAATGCTTCCATATACCTGCACGAGTATTCAATGCAAAATTCAAAAATAATGACCATTGAATACTGGATATGACATAAGTCACTACAAATTCATTTGTTCTGATAAGAATAATGGAAATATAAATAAAATTCAACATGATTGTAACTTGTTTGCAAAATGTTAAATTCTATCAGTTTCAATTCCACCTTTTGTGGTTAAACATACTTGACATATTCCCAGCCATTAATATTACATGATAGCATGCAGCTTCCTTTAAAAAAATCTTCCAACAAGGATGTCTTAAACCAAAATAAAGATGACAAAAAAGAAAAAAAAGAAAAAAGGGGGACCAAATATTCACAACAATCAGTTTTGTATTTGTAATTTTAATACGTCAATTATAGTAACAAACATTCACAACAAGGATGCCTTAAATCAAAACAAAGATGACAAGAAAAAAAAGGGAATCAAACATTCACAACAAGAGGTTTTGTATTTGGAATCCTAATACTTTGATTATAGTAACCAAACATGTCTTAAAAGAGAGAAAAAAATGAGTTCACTGAAGCGAAATTGTCATAACCAATCTTTATGAGGAAAGCATAATCAAATTAGTATGTGTAATGGTCCAACAGATAACAATATCGTAAATACAATTTTGTAAAGGATTTATATTGTGAATAAAACAAAGGAGTAATTTTACCTAGTACATACAATCCAATTCATTTATTTGTAGCTAACAAAAAATCATTGAAAATATAATATGATTTAAATAAAGTAAATTGATATTGCCACATCATCTTTACTTTTCTATTTTCAATAATTTCCTTTTGTAAACTTGGATTTTACTTGCTTGCTGACGTGGATACACTTTCCCATTTTCAAAAAGAAAGTGACTTTCACCACTTTAAATTTGCCATACATCCCCATAGTTAAGCACCAACTCTAACTACATCACAACTAGAAAAGAAAAATAAAAAAACAGAAACACAAGGAAACATAAGTGAAATGCAAGGTTGCAAGCATATAAACACTTGTTCTCGATAATCTAACAATATGATTTTCCGAATCACCTATCAAACAATGATGGTGAAAGATGTGAAGTGCATGTCCTCACCTCCATCAAGTTTGTTATATATCTTCGGGAGGAAGCCTCTCTCTCTCTCCTAAATCAATGTGACCTATAGATGATCCTAACTGCAAAATTTTCATCCAGGACCATGCATTTGAATATTACAATAAGAACTCAGCCACCAATCCTGACCAGAACAGATAAAAACCAAAGGAAACAGAAGTATGAGTGAAATGTAAACAAATAAAATAACTTTTCTCCCCAATGAAAAACCTAAACTAGCTCAGGAGAAAGTCATCCAACTATCCAAAATTTCCAAGTTCCAAATCACCTCAGTAGTCATCGGTCTACCATTTGTTGAATCATGTAAAAAGATCCTAAAGTTACTTCCCAAACTTTAGTTCCCCTTCCTAATTATTTTCAACCATGAGTTGCATTAAGAATAGATTTTAAAACAACATAAAGAAAAGAAAATGCACATCTGTATCCATCATGATCAACTTACTTCCTACCATATCTGATAATATTAATTGATATCTAGATTCGCTTGTTTCTTCTTTTTCCCCCCTCACTTGTTTGGTTCCTTTCCTATGTTGTCTGTTAAGAATGTCACACGTTTCGTTTTGCTATATTGCATTTCAAACATTCAATTTTATGTAAACCTGACCATCATTCTTATTCTAAGTTGGATCTGCAAATTTAAAGCAAAGATTTCACTATCAGCTAGGCAAATACATCTTACAACGAAAAATTTTAAACCCTGAAGCATGAAGGTCTACACTTTGATAATTAATCTTAAATTAAGTCCTTCTAACCATTAGAACAAAACTCTGAAAACTCCAAAGTTATGATAAGGGTCGAGAATTATAGTTTTATATTAATTTTAACATGCCCCCACACGTTGAATGTCCTAGATTGCTATTATATCATCTTAAATTAAGTCCCTCTACAATTACATCAAAACTCCGAAGTTATGGTGAGGGTGGAGGATTATAGTTTCATATTAATTCTAACAATTAAGACTGATAATTTACGGGAAATGATACGATAACATCTATAAACAATAAAATTTTGTTAAAATTTCAACATTACTCTGAAACCCTAAAACCTTGAATAAACCTCAGATCTAGAAAAATAATCGAATTTTAACGCCAAAACGGGGACATTGAACTAAATTATTCTGATCTGAGGTTTTTTTCTCTCTCTTTTTATTTTTTATTTTACCTTTATACTCATCCTTCTCCGATGCGATCCACCGACCCTCAAATGCTTCATCAAATGATTCGTAAAACAACTGCAGAATACTCTAAATAATTAACTTCCCCCTTTAAAAAGAAACTGTAAAATTTATGACAAAAATATCACCATAGTTCGAGAGAAATTACAGGATCTGAAGCTCGAATCTGAAGCGTGGAGCACAGGATCGAAAGCGGAAGAAACCGAGACGCGATCTGTGACTTCGCCATTAATGTAATCTCATAACCATAAAGAGAACCCGAGGTTGAAGGGAAAATTTTTGAAGGAAAAAAAAATCTCTTAAAAAAAACCCCCTAAACTCTGATTCGTGAGCTTCCAGAGAGCAGATCGTATTGGTGGGACGAATTGAAGGACGAATAAATTTTCACTGTAGACCCAAACGGAATTTTAATTAACAAAATCGACCGATTTTTTTTTAATTATTAAAATCGACCCGTTTTATGCCACGTAGGCTTAATCCAGTTTCCTAATTAGTCGGGGTTGCCAACCCCGACTGTTTAGGAGTTGTTAAACCCCGATTAGAAGCCTTAAAACCCGGTTTAACAACTCCTAAACAGTCGGGGTTGGCAACCCCGACTAATTAGGAAACTGGATTACGCCTACGTGGCATAAAACGGGTCGATTTTGGTAATTAAAAAAAATCGGTCGATTTTGATAATAAAAAATTGGTTTGGGTCTACAGTGAAAATTTGTTCATTGAAGGACTGATAGTGCGGTGAGGAGGTTCAACCAATGATCTTTTGTGAGAGCGTGGCTACATCACAATAGTATTTTGCCACGTCAGATTTTTAGTTGAAAAATTCTTTTAAGGACCCAAAATATGGGACCAATAGTGGGGACAAGTGAGGTGTCCCCCTCCTATTGGATAATGAGTTGGCCATCATTAATGATGGCCAACTCATTATCCAATAGGAGGGGGACACCTCACTTGTCCCCTTTATTGGTCTCATATTTTAGGTCCCTGTAGCAAAGCTCTTTTTAGTTTGCAGTTAATTTGGTGTTAATCATAGCATTAATGCATTAATTTGAAGATCTATTAATCCACAAGTTTGCTCTACTTGGTAGTACATCGAAACGAATAATAAAATTGACCAAATTATAGGCGTTCAGTTTTCACTTAACTTTTCCATGTAGGGCCCGTTTGGTTGCCAAAAAAAATGAAGGAAACTGAAGGAAATTTGTCTAATCTGTGAGAAATTCTCTAAAACCATCAGAAACTCTTCATTTTCACTGTTTGTTTCGCGAAAAGAAAAAGGAAGGACAAATAAACACGCGTAGCCACATCACCCAAACAGGAAACATGATTTCCTCTCCAAAACCTCCGATTTTGGCAGAAAACTAATTAAGGGCCCGTTTGGTTGTTGTTGGTAAAATTGTGTATTTATGACACAATTTGGAAAGTTAATGTCCACCTCATCGTTTTTTACTTTCACACTTTTCTTTGTTTTTTTATTCCATTAAAATCATAAAGTGCTTGTTTGGTTTGGATAATGTAACTTTAGAAAGTAGTTATTATGTGATCCCTACTCAAATGATCATACTATCATAGGTAAAGTTACCTCTCCAAAAAGATTAAAAAAACAAACAAACAGACAAGCAACAAATTGTTATGATCAATATATTCTATTACTAATATAATAAGTTAACAAATTACTGATTTTTGAAAACCATCATGTTGAACAAAATTTCACGAACCATCACATAGATATTATGAAATTTAATGATTTCACCTAAGATAGTACAACTATAATGTTCATTGCAACAACTATATTTTCACCGGTACTAGATAAAAATAAACATAATATGATGAATATATAATGGATGTCATTGCACCATAAAAGACAAACAAATATTTGCATGTTGCAATAAACCTTGGTTAATTCCCAAACATAACGTCACAACTAACAAAGATGTAACTAACACTTGACATCAAAGTTTTGGTCCAAAAAGACATCTAATATTAGGGCATACATGCCTCAAACTACATAGGCACCTAAAGTTCTCACGACAAAATGCTACAATATTACAAATAAAAATAAAGTTAAGTCATCCAACCCACAACAAAATCAAGTAAAATAAATCAAAGCCTACGTTAAAGTCCAGATTCACCTAAACATTCAACAAAAGGTATTATCTTCTATCCATAATAACTCATATCTAGTTTGAATCCCCATAAATATCATCCCCGACATTTATATTACCGTCCAAGCCATACTTCAAGACATGGTCTTTCATCCAAGCCACTTGAGATTCCAATGGCTTCACTGTGAATAGCCTAGCTTGCTTCTCATTGTCATATAAATGATTGAGCGCATGATCCAATACATATTGTGGGAATTCACGAAGGGAATATATGCAATCGACCAATTTTGCACTATAGTGTCGATTGCCTTCTTTAATTGTGCATGCGATTTTTCCCACTTTCTCAAGAAAACTTGTCATCTCCTCGGAATCCTCATTGCATACAAGGCGACGTTTGTTTGCATGAATTGTCCATCCTAACTTTAGTTTTTGTATTTTTTGCCTTATTAGCTTCCGCCTCCGTGGATGATCCGACTTGAATACAAGAGCTATCATTCTCGACGGGTAAATCAAGATCAATTGTTTCATTAGCTACTCCTTCAAAATTATTGTACGCATTCTTTTTAAACTCTCTAGTTACGAAATTGTTGATGATGGATAACCAAATAGTCAATATATCGGAGTGAGATTGATGAGGGGTCACTCACTTCTCTGAATATCCAGTTTTGAGTTTAGTAGCTTTAGCCTGCACAAGTAGAAACTCGTAGAGGATAGGGCTTGGTTCTCCCGTTGTACCTCCGACGATCAAGTCAGCTGGTGAACTTGAGTGAGAAAGATAAAGAACTACGTGAGTTTTTTAGTGAGTGCAGTGTAATATGCAAATATTGCTTATCAGTAAAAGATCCAAGATTAAATTCAAAAGCAGAATCAAAGATCGATTAGAAGATAAAAAGATCCATAAAGATCCCCTTTCAGTAAAGAATAGTACATCTATTTGTAGTGGTGATGAAAGAGTAGAGCAGTCACTTTGGCCTAGCACAGGAAGGCGATAAGAATGCATGGGCTGGTAACTGCATCAACACCTACTGTACATGTGCCGGTCGGCGAGTGGAGGAGAGATCATCTCAGTATTAAAAGAGAAGTGATCGGAGGCATGACGGTGCTGACGTGGTCTGATGAGTCATGAAGACTATCAGGGCTAGAGGTACGATACGCCTGCCAAGCATTAAATATGATGCCGACATGCTGTCAGCGGAAGAGGCTCGAGGCAGAAGTCATCCTTTAGCTTGGTTGAGAAGTAACGCCTTTCAAGTCGACCTCGTGAGGCATCAAATAACTGGTCGAGTGGGCTTGTTGTGAGTTGTCTTCAACAAGAGAATCGATAAGTACCGCCATTCAAGTTGATATAAGGAGATGTCAACTTGAAGGGTCAGCTACGTCGGGATCCTTGGTTGTTTTGACTATCAATCTAACTGAGTAGTGCAAGTAGGGGGCATCTGTCTGTTGTTAGCAAAGGACCGTACTTTGGCGACTGAAAACACCATAACAGTTAGCCCGTTCACTTGGAGTCGGTTTGAACAGGGTCCAAGTGAAATGAGAGTTGCTTTAGACGGACGTGAGTGTGCATTAAATGAGGGAACTGAAAAGTCATGTCAGATTTTACGTGGCTGACGTCACTACACATTCTTTTTGACTGCCACAGCTCCGCTTTTGGTGGCTAATTGCGGGCTATTCAAGGTGATTGGCCTACGCCTCGATCCTCGAGGGGTCACTTTGGATTCTTAGAATTAATCTCAGCCATTGGCCAGAGCTTGATCCGGCGGTTCAGATTCCGGCAATTGTGGATTCAGCTGCTTATATATAGAACTAGAGCAAAGGAGATGGCAGTTATTGTCTTTTAAAATTCCCTTCTTGAGAACTCGAAACTTTCCCGCTCATCTCTTTTCGGCGATCATTTTCCATTCTTCAATGGCATCAGATCCAGTAGACCGACATACTCTTCTGATGGAGTTCCACTCAAAGGTGACCCAAGCACAGAAGAGGATGCTCCATGGGAGATTTGTTATCCTCCGTGAGTACGAGCTGATGGCCCCGATGAGGTCAGATGCCATTTATGATCATGGGCCAGATCGGGCCCTGCTCTACTTGAAGCATTTGGAGTTTGGCCGGAGACTGCCCCTGCACCCTTTCCTCCAGCAAGTTTTCACGGTATTAGGGGTATCGCCTGCCCAGATGAAGTCGAACGCCATCGCCACCTTGGTGGGGTTCGTCGTGATCTTCCATTGACTGGCGTTAAAGCCATCCTTGAGAGTCTTAGGCCGTTTGCTGACTGTGAAGGTGGACTAGACTGAACCCCACTTCCACTTCCAAATGGTGGGAAAATATAAACTCATCATCGGCCTTCCTAACTCCAAGAAGGACTGGAAGGAAAAGTTTTTTTTTGTCGTGAAGGACTAATAATCATTTTTTTATTATAATCTGATATCCTCATTATCTATTTTTATGAATAAGTATACCACTAATAATTATTTTTATCTTTAATTACAGATTAATGAAGAATAAAGTCTAAGATCTCATCTCTTAATAAAAGCCCATGAATTAATGAAGAATACAAGCAAAAGATCAAAAAGCAAAATCCCAAAGCTAATGGAAGAAAAAGAATTCAGCTAGAAATAGAGAAGCATGGCTATCGATGGGAGCATCGATGACAGCATCGTTGGCCGCCATCGATGCCAGCCGTTCTGTTCCAATCCTATGGCTGAAAATGGAGGGTTATGGATAAGAATTCAATCCAAGGGCTTTAATTCACTAATGTTTACTATAAATAGGGGTAGAGAATGAGGGGTTAAGGGGGTAAAAAATTTTGTAACTCTATTTAGAGAGGAGGGTTATTCTTAATTGAGAAGACCTTCTAAATTTATAACTTTTGTTACAATTAATAAAAGAATTTTTTATCTCTTTATATTTTCTTCTTTTTATTTGATGATGACGTTGAAGATGAAGATCAATGTGAAGGTTTGCTTTTATTTTCTCTTTTATTTCTTTATAGTAATTTCTTTTCTTATTGCTTATTAGTTTAGATTTACATTCATGTCTTGTAGAGTAGATTTATTTTCTTGTCTCTATTTTATTTTGCACTTTTAATTTGTAGAGTAAATTTGTTTTCATTTATGTTCTTTTGCATTTTAGTTAGATTATTTCTTGTTCATAGTGTAATTTTCTTTGTTCTCATTTTCATCTTTGTAATTAGTTCTTATTCTTTTTATTTTATTTTTTATTTTTGATTCTTAATATGTAGAACTTATTC